CAGCAGCCAAGTTCATGAACCATCTAGGACATTCAGCCCAGTCAAGGCTGAAAGATGACTGCAGCCCTAGTTGACATCTGGCCATGATTACCCTAAGTAAGAACTGGCCAGATGTCCCCTCCCTGAATTTCTGACCCACAAAATCATGAACAAAAGAAAAATAGTTATTTGGGGTTAATTTGTTACACAGCAATGGTAACCGTAACAGCAGTCTGGTTTTTTTTTCCCTTGCCTAATTGCATCAGTTGCATTGGCATTAGCCAAAAATATTAAAATAATAGCAACAATGCAGGCATTCATGACTTCAGTGGAAATACACTTAATTTTTCTCTATTATTTAAAACTTTGGCTATTTATATTAGGCATTCTGTAGTAATACAGAACTCCAAACACTCAGTAGCTAAGTACCACAAAGTTCTGTAGGTCCCAGTAACTCCCAGGAGCAACCGTCCTCCACATGGTGATTCAGTGATCCAGGCTGGGGGCTCCCCCAGCCTGTGGCTGCACCATCTGGAGTCAAGGATCTCCTTGATGGATGAGGCAGGGGAAGAAAATGCTGTAGAGTCTCTCACCAGCAGCTAAGTACTTTGGCATAGAATTGATACACATCATTTCTCCTCCAGCTTATTGTCCAGGACGTGTCACACAACCCGACTCATGTCAGGGAGGGCAGGAAGGGGTCATCTTCCTTTACCCTGGATGGAATGGAGAAGTAGGTATGGGTGAATTCTGGTAATGCCTGCTGTTCACGATTTTAACTTTATGCTAACAGAGTACACTAGCTTACTGAGTCTATTAATATTTAATCAGAAGTTGATGTTACATTTTGTCAGAATGCTTTTTCAGTATTTAAGGTGACTACGTGCCTTTCTCCTTTTACCTACTATAGACTTCCTAATATTTAACTGTCTTTGACTTCCTTAGACATGGTATATTATTTTTTGAAAAGCAGCTAAATGTCATACTTAATATTTAGTAAAGTATTTGCATTTATAAATATGACTGGTCTAGAAGTTTTAGAAGTATGTGTGCGCACGGGTGTGTGTTTCAGATTTGGCGTCTGTGCTGTTGTAGCGTCATAATATCCGTCGTATGAATTGTACGCGTTCCCTCATTTGCATTGTTCTGGAATGGCACATACAGCGTAAGAATTATTTTTTTGTTTGGAAGTTTGATCAAGTTAAATCATCAGAGTATCTGGTTTTGAATCTTTTAGGGAAGAAATAACTGACAGTATTTCTCAGATAACCGGTCGACTCAGGTTTTCTATTTCTTGAGCCAGTTTTGGTAATGTTCGTGCATTTCCAAAATCATCCAGTTGATCAAGATTTTACAATTTAGCAGCCAGAGTTCTTTATAATATCCTTTTATAATGCTATATAATTTCCTCATTCGCTGTTCTGTCCTTTTCCTTTTTCCTAATTTTGTTTGGTTGGATACAACAACAAAAAGTTCCTGGAGTCAGTTATATCTAGTGTTTTTTCTGTGTTTGTATTTGCTGTAAAACATGTTCCTCTTCCTACCAGGGACGTGGTTTCATAGGCAGGCACTTTATCCCATTCCTCAAAGCACACACCCCTGCTTTGAACTCTTGCATCTTTTCGTGTGTCTGGTGTTCTCCTGTGTGCTCATCCTTCTGAGGGGAGTTCTGAGTTTGCTCAGAGCTGGGAGCCCCCGGAGAGCCCAGTGGAGGGAAGGAGAGGGAAGGAGAGGAAGTGAGATTGCTGTTACTTGCTCTGCCAGTTCAAACATCCCACCGCCTCTGAGAGCGGGTGCTCTCAGCACAGGGCACTTCAGCCGCCCCGGGCAGGCTTGCACCTACCTTTAGCCTGGAACACCCTCTCCTCAGTCTTTTCTGGGCACGTTTTCCCCCATGAGGAGCGAGCTGCCTCCACGGTTAGTCAGGAGCCAGGTCCGGCCAAGGGCAGGCCGAGGGGGAGAGTGTGCGGCTCCTGGCCTTGCTGGCGTGGGTCCCCTGTCCAGATGCTCCCCATTCCTCCCGCCAGCTGCCCGCGCTGTGCTCGCGCTCACAAGAGGGCGCCTGTGCGGCCACTTGCGGTCCTTCTTACTGACTGTTGGGCAGGCTGACCATTTTCGGCAAAAATACGAGATGGCAGAACTCCTGTTCCTAAATCTGAGTAGAAAATGATCACATCGCATCGCATCGCATCGCATCGCATCGGATGAGCCTAGGACGTGTGTAAGGCCTGTTCCGTACGAATCACTTTACACCGAGTTCATGTTTGTCCTTGGATCACAAGCTGGCGGCTCTCTGTGTCGGGGCAGGGCCCCACTGCAGACCAGCAGCTGGAGGGCACAGTGTTGTGGGCCCAGCTTACGTCCAGGCTCACAGCTAGCGTCCTGCTGAACTGCAAAGCCCGATACAGAGTTTCCTATGGAAGTATGACTCCAAGAAGCAGTGAGGTTGGTGGGTGTCAATCAGAGGAGGGAGGGAGAGGTGATACAAGGCTGGGTTATGATGTTGGCTCTTCCTACAGCAGTCAGGTTGCTTGTTCTGGGGCCATTTGAAAAGTTATAGCTCAGAACTGCCTTCAGAAGAAATAAAGGAGGGAGCATTTGTATACAGGCTCCAGTCTCCGACTGGTCCAAGGTGAACTCTTCCACATTTCTGGGTGGCACACGGATGAGTGCTAAGTGGGTTCCTGTGGGCATCTCAGGAGACAGCATCCGAAACTGTGGGGCAGGAAACAAGAGGTGCACAGCCTGTCTGAGGGGCACTCTCACCCTGGGCTGCCCCCATGTGAAACCTGCAGACCTGCTTGGAAACATCACCACAGCCACGCAGGAGGTAAGAGGGGAGGTTGAGAATATTCGAGGTGATGCAGTAGGCACCTGCGGTACCTGGTCTTGTACGAATTCAGCTGGCAGTGTGCTGCGCGCTCTCCCTGTCTCTTTCTGGGGCGCTCTGAGCAGATGGGAGCATGGAAGCTAAAATCCTTAAGCATGCATCTCTACAAGTTTCTCCCTGCCGTTCTCCCGCCCATCAAGGTTTCTCTTAATGTCATTTCATCTCCCAGGAGAGAGAAATGGACGACTGACTAGTTTCCTGAGTGGGTGCAGACCACCTGGAGAGGTGAACCACTTCATCTTCTTTGGGGCTTCTTTGTATCTTCTAGGAGGCAAGACGTGATGCAGCATCAGCCGCTGATTACGATTCTCGTTTAGCTCCTTGTGGCTTGTCATCAGAGTCACTCCTCCCAGACTCACTCAGTGGCTTGGTGGCCAGGTTACCAGCACTCACTGTGTATTCGTAGTATTTATGCATGTTTATATATACACAGAAAGGTCTGGAATGGCATAAAAATAGTAACAAATCTCTTTGAGGAGTGGTGACTTTTATGTTATGCCTTAAACAACTTTGTATTGAGTTCTTTCAAGTGGAGTGTGTGCTTTTATAATGACTCTTTAAAAGGCATTTCCATTTGGGGGGAAACGATGCACCCCAGAGTATTTTTGTTATTAGGAGATAATGTGAGATTCTCTTCCCTCATTCTGATTTTATTTTCCCAGTAACAACTCTTAAACATTTGTGGCAAAAGGATAAACATAGCAGGCAGAATAAGCGAGATTAGCATGACCGAGGACAAAGGGACGAGGATTACTAGCTGGCTGGCCACTGGCTCTCCGTCTCAGGAGCCAAGCTGGGAAGCGCACGTTCCCCAGCTCTGTGGCTTGCCAGGGGTCTGGGGGATACTGCATACAGGCCCCTTAGGTGGAAGCACCATAGCAGGGTTTCTAAGCCTCTAATGAGAGCAAAGTGAACCTGGGCTCTGGCCCCACGGCTCATGCTTCCCACTCATACTCGTATCTGGATGTGTACAAAGAACTCGGGAAACCAGGCAATTCCAAGGAGTTGATTCCAGCTCTTTTGTCTGCTCAGCTGGGAAGTAGAGAGGGTGTGCATGATGTGCATCAGATTGGCAGCCTCACACTCTAGTTAGGGGGCAAGGAGACAAACCAGTTCCCAATCTGTCCCTTTCCAAGAGCATTCAGAATAGTGCTTGCCTAACTTTAGCATGCATGACAGTCACCAGGGGCACTTGTTAAGCATACAGTTTCCTGGGACCCATCTTGGACCTCCTGAATCAGATTCTACATGCTCTGAAATTTCTCAGGTCAACTGATATAGGTGATCTGTGGACCACACACACTGAGATGACAGGGTTAAAGTCTGCATCTGGCACCAACAATTTGGTACCTAATCTCAGCATCTATTGGAACATTGAGAAGTGAGGTCTTTGTTAAGAGGTGAGGTATGTTTCCCTGCCTCTTGATTCTGAGTCTGCCATGCAACCAGCTGTCCAATGGGACATTACAGGCATGACTCAAAGCAACTTATGTGATCACACCTTCTCTCTCACGTTTCTGCTATCACCAGAAATGGATACTTAGGTGAGCTTGCTGCCCAGGGGGAGGGGAAGAGACTCATGGAGCACAGGTGCACCAGCCAAGGTGTCCCAGGCAAGCCTGGCCCAGACCCGAGCCCTTAGCTGACACCTGAGTGGGCCTGCTGAGATTAGCTCAGCTCAGCCTAGATCAGTCAAGCCTCAGCTGACCACCATGAAAGATTGTTGTTTCAGGTTACTGAGTTTTGGGTGGTATGTTACACAGCAGTAGCTAACTGACACATCTGGGTAGCTTGTTAATGTGCAGCTCCTGAAATTGTGATTCTGTAGGGGCTTAAAAGTGTATCTGTTTAACCAACTGATTCTGATGCCCACAGTCTGTGGACCACACTTGAGAAAAGCTGTTTTAGATCCATCCCTTTTACTGGTGCAATAGGCAATCATGGGACATCCCTTCATATTTATGAACCTCCACCATTCTCATCTGCAAAATGGGGGTAACACATTTTTTGCATCACAGATGTGAGGATTAAATGAACATAAATCTAGTCCATAAAAGGTTTTTCTCCTTCTGCTTCAACTTATTTCCACCTCACCCCATTCCAACCTCAGGAAGACACCAGTGCGAATATCTTAGGAAAACATGAATCTCAGGGTCACAGCTTTATTGTATAGATTTTCAACACAGCCATATTACAAACATTGTCAGGGAACATTTACAAGAATAAATAAGATGGACTTGCAGGTGTAAAAAGATTACACTTCACTGTAATGTACAGTCAAAAAATATATCTGATATTCATTGACCTGACATTATTTACCTTCTGCTTTTTTAAGCTAGAATTGGAAAGGAAAAGGAAAAAAAAAACATTGACAGCACAGTGCTGGCTTTTTTCAAAAGTTGATTTATTTTGTTTTCTCTTCTCATACGTGCTTTTTATCTGTCAAACACCCAGACTGTACAAGTGCAGGCCGTTGGGATTCACGGAGGAGGCTGCAGTGTGGAGACCCAGGTCTCATGCAGTGTCATATGCCCAGTGGATATGAAAGTGTCCGTCTCCCTGGAGCTGATAGGAACCCACGCTGGCCCTTGTAGGGCTATGACGTGTCCAGTAGCCAAGGCAATGGTAGAAGCCCTGACTCTCTGCCTTACATTGGCTGGTAAGAAGTGGGGTGAAAAGAAATGCTAGGAAAGTGCTTTTGAGTCTGATTGACAATACAGGTTAGCCTGGAGTAGCCTGAGCTAGTTCAGGATCTACCTGGCAATGAAATGGACGCACTGGGGACAATGATAATCACGTGTCAGCTGAGTCGCTGTGCTTTTGCTTTTGCAAACTGCCCCACCAGGCCTCGAGTCAGGAGGGAAGGTCGAATTCAACTCTAGAGCTAATGTGTATTGTCAGCAAAACCCTGTTCTGGGTCCTTCTTGGACCTTTGCTGATTCTGGCTGTCACTGCTGGCCTTGCTGGCCAGTGGGTCTAAATTAGGATTGGTCTCGTCAGAGATCTTGGTGGGCATTGGCTCTGTGGCAGAGCAGCTGCTCTCTCTGTGGTGTTTGGTGATAACCAGCCTGGATGAGCCCTGGATGTGTGGCTGGAGCAGCATCTTGGCTTGCGTGGCGGGGAGGCAGCAGGAGAGTGGGGGCTTCAACCTGCACAAAACAAGCACAACCTGCTTGGCTTTGTGCTCTTGGGGAACGAAGGAGTTCAAACACAGCCCCAGCTCTGTAACACCTCACCCATCTGGGGCAAAGCTCACCCATCGGAGCAGCGCTCCTTCTTCCCTTTAAAGACACGTGGCTTCTGCTGGACAGCGGCTGAGGTGGGCAGCTCATCTTCTCTGGCAGATAGCAAGGTCTTCCTCACAGCTATCACGTTTCACCCACTACTCCCAGTTCCGCTCACAGGAGTGACCTGGGACCAGCAAACTGTGCTTGAATTTATCTGATGAGCTGCAGGCCGATGGAGGGTACGGGCACTAGTGTTCTGCCTAAGCCTTCAGAAGGCTGATCTGACTTGGAATGTCACCACTTTGCCCTCTAAGTCTCCAGACTGCCCTGGAGGCATTGGCCCAAGGAACACCTTACAGCAGGCATCCTCCGTGGGAGAGACAGGGGCAGGTGGGCACTGAGAGTTTGTTGGAACAGTTACATAGGCGGCCCACTGATTTGTGTTCACAAGCCCAGAGGCCCTAAGTACGTGTACTTCATGCTTGGCCCGGTGGTCCATACGCATCCTAGGTTCTGAGTATCCCTCTTGGGTCCTAACTTCCTGGCTTTGCCTGTTTTCCTACCCAAAGCTCTCCAGGTCTCCCTACTCCCCCCTTGTGGCTGGGACTCCTCTTTTCACATCTTTTCCCATTAATTGGTTGGCCCAACATGCTACAGGCAAGAAATGGCTGTGCTGGATTAGAACTGAAGACTGAGTCCTTTCTACCACAACCTCATGTCTCGCCGGGGCATGAACTGTGCCATGGTAGCCTGCGCTTCTGGTGGCACCCCGTCCAGGGCCTTGCATGTTGTAAGAACCCAGTGGGTATGTGTGGTTGAGGAGGCTTCCAGCCCCAGGCCCCTCGTGTGAAGTGTGTCCGCAGATCTGCCCCTGTGATTGCATCTTGGGCAAAGGGCACCGCTTTGTAGAAGGCCCAACATTTGGGAATCTGCTGAGTAAGGGTGTGTTCATCTTCTGACCTTTCCCTTTAGGGTTTGATGGGCTTAGCCTTCGTCACTCCAGGTGGGCGTGTCCTTGTAATTCTAGTAGATGTCAGTGGGTTTTTTTCCAGTATCCAACTTAAGAAGACTTGGATTGAAATTAACCCATGAACAGTGAGGTCAGGGAACCCCCACACCAAAGGATCTGCCTAGGGGAATGTGAGCTGGCCTTGAGCCTGACTCTGGAATTGGCCTCGGGAGGAAGCAGCCTGGCCAGGCCCTGTGCCTCTCAGGCAGGGATTAATTCCCTAGGGTCCATCACAGTGAGCTGGGATTAAAACCACATGTATATACTCGCATTAAAATCAATCTAAATTAGAGTAGAAGGCGAATATTATGGGATTTGTTAAACATGGAACTGAAGGACTTTTAAGCTTATCATTGTCTGCTTTGGGCTTTGAAGATCCATTGGGTTATCTGTTTCACTCTAGTCTCCGCTGTTACGGGTAGCCCCCCATGGGAAAATCTGAGATGCAATGGTGGAAAAACATTGCCTCTGAAGTCAGAAGAACCAATTCAAATCCTGGCTCCCTCATTCACCAGCTGTGGTGGAACTGTGGGCAAATGATCTCTCCCCCGCTGAACCTCAGTCTCCTCATCTGTAAAACGGTAACAATTACAAGCACTTCTTAGGAATGTTGAAAGAGTTCAGTGAGCTCTCAAGTCTCCAGCACAGTCTGTTGGTTCCACGTGAAAGCTGACATCTGATAGGCCACTCACTGCTTGGGTGACATCTGAGAAGAGGCTGTAAAAGCAAGGTACTCCCTTCTGTTCCCACAAAGGGAGGCCTCCTGTGGTCACCTGGAAGCTCAGAGGCACCCTGGCCCTGGGATCTTCACACCCGATAGGGTGAGAGGACACTGTTAGATACAGCGAGGGTGTATCCTGAGGCTCTGTAGGCTGGACAGGCATCTGGGTGGGGACAGTTCCTGGCCTTTCATTAATTCCTTGCATCTTCTCCAAACAGGGTCCATGTCTAGGAGGTGAGAACCATGAGGCTCTGCACTAAGTGAGGGCACTCTCTTTGGCACCCCAGGGACGAGAGGCGAGCCCGTGTGGAGACTCAGCATTGATGCGCTTTGCTCCTGCGTCGTGAAAGGTGAGCCCACGCGGTAAGGGCGGAGCAGTGGGGAGAGGCCCTGGGGGAGGGGGGTGGTGTTTGCTCAGGGGGTTTCCTGGGGATGGGATCAAGTCCAGCTTCGCAGATGCCGGTGCCCCACCTCATCCGAGCCCCGCCACATGCGTGCCCCGTGGGCTCTCAGGGAGGCATGTCCATCAGAAGCAGCCGCAGTTTCTTCCTGTGTACACTGGCCTAAGACCGGCCCTACCGCCTTTGCCACGTTGTGAGGAACAGGGCGGGATGAGCTGGGGGAACCATCGCTGGCCCTTGTTGGGTTGCCCACCGTGGCCTGAGTTCTCACTGGTTTCCTTCTCCCTGCAGTCACCTTTCAGATCCCTGCCGTTTGAGATGCTAGAAGCCACTGTCGTCTTATCTGGCAGCTATTTCACCCCTTTCTGAGCAGAATAAATCCTAGGGTTTGTTGTGTTAGATGGTGCCCGCCTCCCATCCTCCCTTTCTGTGTGGATGAGCCAAGATCTGAGAAGAGACACCTAGCATGCTGCCTTGCTGGGCACAGGCTCCTTGAGGGCTGGGGGCGGGGGCCCGGAAACCCTGGGAAGGGCCTGTGGAAAAAGAACAGGTTCGTCATGGGCTCCTTTGCTTTGAGTCCTCCCTTGATCAAGTCTGGGGTCCCCGGACTTCCAGGCAGCTCCAGAGCCCGTGCTCAGCTCTGGGGTAGAGCAGGGACCCTGAGTTCCTCACAGATGCTGCGTCTCCTGACCCACTGCGTGTTTTGTTCCAGTGACAAAATAATGAGCAGACAAATAGATGTGGTATGAAAAAGTATACGCTTAAGGGAATGTTTTCACAGTGTCTGATGAAAGAAAGAGGCAGCCTCTCTGGCCCCAGCGGGACCCTCCTCCAGCACTGAGCTGAACGCGTCACTCGGCTGCTGCCCCGTCTCCTGCTGCAGCTCCGCCCGCTCTGCTCCCACCCAGCAGGACTTTTCACACCTCTTTGCCTTCACACATGCTGATCCTTTGGCCTGAACTTCTTCTTCCTTTTTCTACCCAGTAGAATGGATGGTACCTCCTTTAGAAAGCCCTAGGCAGAAGCTTGCTCTGAGGCTCAGTAACACGTGCATTCAGTTTCCCGCAGTGTCCCGTAAGCTCTGGAGGGAGAACGCTGTGCGTTACTGAATCTGTGCTCCTCCCGTCCTGTCTGGGGCCAGACCAGCCCCCAAGATGGCGCTTCCTAGCTCCTAGGCCACCTCCACCTGGGGCCGCCAGGTACTGTACCTGAGCCCCAGCTAGAGACTTGGGTGTAGAGAGTGTGTCCCTGGCAGGCAGACCTCACAGCCTGAAGGCACAGGGAGTTGTTCTCGCTGGCGAAAAACTTAGATGGGACTAGCTTTACTGGGGAGCCGGAATGAGCTACTAAAATATATCTGAAATTCTGAGCTTCCCAGAAAAACTGGCATCAGAAAGAAATAATTAAATTTCCATTTGTGGAGTTCTCGTCTCAGAATTTTCTGGCCTTATTTTCCCTCCATAAAATAATTGCTTGGCTGAGAAAGGATGAAGAAAACAGTACAAGTCAGTCTCAGTGTATTATCTGCCTTCTTGGAAACCAGAATTTCATCACTGAGGAAGATGACTCTGTCCTCAGCTGTGAAGATGACAACAGGTAAACAGCCCTCTCATGGGTTGGGGGGCTTCTAAGAACACGTCAAGCTTGGCATACAGTGGATGCTGAGCAAATGTTGGCTCCAACATGGGTCAATGACTGACCCATACCTTGGGCAAGATTTTAGATCCCCAGGCTTGATCCCTGTGGCCTATTTTAAACCAAAGTGTAAACCGGGTCCTCGGTGACCTGAGAGTGCAGCTGGGTTTCTCTAGGAAGTTCAGATTTGGAGATCCTGGGTTATACACGATGCTGGTTCTCTATCTGCCCCAAAGGGACTGTCTTCAGACTAACCCATCTCTCCCTTGCTTGATGGCTGTGCTGTCCCTGGGTGGGACCTTTTAAGGACACTGGCAGGAGAGAGAACAGGCCCCAGAAGTTTTCCTTAGAGCTATGCCAAACGTCCCTCCCTACCTTCTTTTGCTATGAGACTGGCTTTTCACATACACTTTGGAAAATCGTCAAATCTCATTCATCCCTCCCAGAGGAGCCACCACCTCAGACACTCAGGGTCAGGTAGTCCTTTTTCACAAAAATGCAAAGAAAACCTTAATCAGAGCGTGCCGGGGCTGGCCAGTGAGTGATGGAAGGTCAGGCCAGTGAGCGATGGAAGGTCCAGGCCCGGGCTGGGGGAGGGGTCGGGAGGGGTGGTGGGCCAGGCCCCATGCAGGTTAGGTGCGAGGATGGGGCCTCTGCTGTGGTCTCGGAAGCATCCTAGGGTCCCAGTGATCCAGAGGGCAGGTGTCCGGGGCCAGAGGTCCCTGAAGGAGACTGCAGAGGACAGCAGAGTGGTGATCCCCAGAGCTTGATCATCTATATCCAGGACCGCGTGGCAGAGAGCACACCTCCCTCCCGACGGAAGCCGGCCGCTCCCCACAGCCGCACAGCGGGCTTGCCGCGAGACTCACAAACTTGAAAGGAGCAAGAGGTCTGGAAACTGAAAAAATCCAAGGCCCTGCTATGGGTACACTTCTGCATGGCTGGGGCGGGGTGGGTATGGAAAAGAAGCCTGGGCCTTTCAGGTCAGCAGCCCCCAGAGCAACTGGAGATGCCTCAGGAGGAGCAGAGCCCACCGTGGATCGCGGGACCACCAGTCTTCTCCCTGGAGTGGGGCAGGGTGCCGTCTCTTCACCCCTGAGCCCAGTCGCTGCCATTCACAGAAAAGGGGGCTTGGCTGCAGCAGCCTCTGGACTCCGGCAGGTTCCCCAATCCATCGGGCTAAAAGGAGCTTAAATATTCCAGTGCCACCTCATATACAAACTTATACTGTTCCTGAGAGGAGGAGCAGCACAGAGGGAGAAGGCGAGAGATGGAAAGGAAAGGGAAGAACGCCTTTAGTCTACAGATACCGGATACAGAGACAGCCTTAGCTACAGCTGTACTAACAGTCAGCTTGAAATTGTCCACACAGATCCTGATTCAGTCAATCCAGACTGGGGCTCAGGAGCCCACGTCCCCCCCCCACGCTCCCACGTAACGCTGCTGCTGGGCCACGGACCAGACTTCGGCTAGGCCCTCCCTTTGCGTAAGGCCACTCAAAAGGCGGGTTTAAAGACTTGTTCGAGTTCCCCCTGTAGGGCGGTCTCCGTCACTGCACCAGGTCTGAACACCGGGGGCTGGGCCTGCCGGGTCTCTTCCCGCCCCTTTCTGCACGGTGTCCTAGCCCAGTGCTGTGCACGGTGAAAGTCGTCATGAATTAATTAGAATAGGATTGGGCTGAACTGAGAGCGTAATTCACATTCTACTAATCCAGCTTCCCTTCCCGTCAGCCAGAATTAGTGATACTTGCCTATGGAATGGGAAGAAAGCAAAACATAGTAGGGTGTGCCAAGATTAACATTTGGAATGCTCTGCAGAAGAGAAGCTGGTGAGGCTGGAAGGGGGAGGGAGGCAGAGGGCGGAGACCGTGGGGGCTGGAGAAGCAGCCTGGGCCGAGGGTTCTGACTGTGATGCTGCTTCCTTCAGGTCGAGGGGACCCTGGGTGGCCCCGGCTATCGGAGCACAGGGCTTGGGACACTCACCAGGGTCTCCACCATGTTGGACTTGTTGTTGCGGAGTGTCTTCACGATGTGGAACACATCAATGATGTTTTGCTGCTGGATCATCTCACACACGCTGCAGATGGCACAGAAGGTCCCGCTGCGGCCTCCCCCATTCCTAAACACGGAGGGAAGAGGTGAGGCAGATTCCCGGGTCCCCCTCAGGCACCCACTAATCCCACTGTGGGGAGTGGCTGCCCTGGCAAAGGCCAGGTAAGGCAGCGGGGGAAGCCTCAGCCTGAGCTGTGAGTAATGGGTTGCATCCCATTTGTGCTGTGAACCTGTTCTGACCTTGGGCAAGTCACCTCCTGTGTCTGAGCCCTAGGCTCTTAGTTCGTACAGGGAAGTGGATGACCTCTGAGCATTCACTTACCTTGAGGTTTCCTTGGTTCTATGAGCATGTGACAGCCAGCCAGCCACAGACAGTGACCCAAACACCCAGGGTAGAGATAGAGTGCCTTTATGTGTGTGGTGCCTGCATCCTTGTCCGAAAGGATGCTCTGGGTTCACCTACACATCCAGTGAAGACAATGGAAGGTTGTATGTGATGCTCTTCCTAGTCCTTCCCGTCCCCCAAGGATGACAGTAGATTATTAATAATAATCCGTTAGCCTAGGTTTTGGGTGGGGCTGGGCTGGGTCTGAGATGCTGACTCCTGAAAGGATCCGTTTCTATTTATAGACCCTGGTTTAGGCAAGACACCACTGATGTGGAAAATAGAGGGCCCTCTGTCACTCCTCCTTCCTGATGCCCCATAAGTCATCTTCATGGAGACACCCCTCCAACTCTTCACAGAAAGTCTCTTCAGGAATCTGCCAGATTTGGAACTCCTGGGCGTGTTGCCAAGAGCAACTAATGATTTCCTGTGATGGTCTGCATCTAAAGAACATCCGGACAGAAACTAAGCCCCTCAGTCAATCTCCCAGATGTTTTTATCCACAGGACACCCAGCGACCAGATGTTTCAAGTACAGACAGTTGCCCTCTGTTCACTGGGCAGTGCCTGCGTTTTGATGTGTCTGTCCTCCAAGGATGCCAAGGTCCCTGCTC